TCTCTGTCTCAAAAATAAATAAACATTTAAAAAAATGTTTATTTATTTTTGAGACACAGTGTGCAGAAGCAGGGGAGGGGCAGAGAGAGGGGGACAGAGGATCAGAAGTGGGTTCCATGCTGACAGCAGAGAGCCCCATGTGGGACTCAGTCTCATGGACCGTGAGATCATGCCCTGAGCCAAAGTCGGACGCTTAACCACTGAGCCACCCGGGGGGGCCTGGGCTGCTGTCTTCTGATTGACTTGTAGGAGCTCTTTCAACACTGAGGAGACTCATTCCCTGTCACTTTGGCACCTGTTCCTTGCCCTGGGGCTTTTGTGTGTTTGGCCTTGATGTTTAAGTTTTAACTTTATTGAGAAAATTAATTTCAAATTTGTAAACAAATACACAAATACGAACATCGTCACCCCTTGAACAACATGACACACACACGCACACACAAACACACACACACGCTTTTTTTTTTCCTGAACCACTTGAGTTACGTATATCATGGCCCCATACCCCTAAACATTTTAATGTGTGTTTCCTAGAAATAGGATATTCTCTGATGTAATCGTAGCTCAGTTATCAACCTCGTGCACGTTCATCAACACTATCTGTTTATCTAACCCGACGTCTGTGTTCCACTTTTATCCCCACCCAAATAGCATCTGTCATTGCATTTTCCTCCGGTCCAGGAGGAGAGCCTGTGGTCGTCCTGTCTCTGTCGTCTCCTTTAATCTGGAACATTTCTGCAGCTTTTGTCTATTATAGTGTGGATATTTTTTAAGAACACAGCCCCCCCCTTTTTTTTTAAGTTTATTTATTTTGAGAGACAGAGAGAGAGAGAGAGAGAGAGAGCAGGGGAGGTGCAGAGTGAGGGAGAGAGAATCCCAAGCAAGCTCTGAGCTGTCAGCACAGAGCCCGATGTGGGGCCTGAACCCAAGAACTGTGAGATCGTGACCTGAGCTCAAGTCAGACACTCAACCCACTGAGCCCCCCCAGGCGCCTCATGGCCCCTCTTTTCTGTAATAGACTATTCCTCATTTCGGGTTTGTCTCCTGTGTCCTGGTGACTGGATGGGGGTTATGCCTTTTTGGTGGGACCTGCACAGGGACGCTGGGCCCGGGTCCAGTCACCCCACCGTGGCACCAGGCCCAGCGCCCCTCGGTGCTGATGTTAATATTGCCCACCTGGCCCAGGGGCTGTCCGCTCCCTCCCCTGTACCTGCTGTTCCTTTTTCTTCCGGCAGCGGAGAAGCAGCCTGGGTGTGGGGGGCTCTGGAACCAGCAAGCACCCTGCCCTTAATCGACATTTCCCCCTGGAGAGCCTCACTGGGGGTTCTTGCCCAAACTCCTCTCTAGTCTGGTGGTTGCAGGATGATGAGCCCATCTCCAGCTGGTCAACCAGCTGGCCCTCGACATCCTGACCGCGAGGAGGAGCCTTATTCCCCAGTGTGTGCATCTGTTGTTGGCACAGACACGTGCATTCTTACATCCAGTTGCCTGTAACACGTCGCTGTCCTGAATGAGTTTGTCCAAAGTGTCCCAGATTTGGCCAGCGGGAGCCCCTTTAATCTCTTCCGTGTCCTGTGACACGCCCCCTCATATTCCGAGCACGGACTCCCTCTCTGGAGGCACAAGAGGTTCCGGGGTCATCTGGTCCCCACCCGGCCCCAGCTCTGGGCTCAGCCACTCCCCGAAGAGCCTGGTTCCGGGCAGAGACCAAGATCAGGGCTCTAGGTGAGCTCATAGCTCCTCGGTCCTTCCAGCAGACAGAACTTGGAAGCGTGCACCTAAATGTACGAATACGCATACAAACAGGCGTGCACGTATGCGTGTCCACACACACACTTGTATTTTAGAAGCCACGAGATCACACCCACACCTCAGATTCCAGGCGATCCCCAGAGCCTCCTCCCTCATTCCATACTCGGGCGCCCCTAGCCCCCCGGCGAGAACCCTGCCACCCACACTAACACTCACTTGCTCAGTCCTACAGTGCATGGAAAATACTTTCAGCATAGCTGTGCCCACACCAGCACGGGAAACAGAGCTGCTAAGGAATGTTGAGGGTTTGTACTTCAGTCCCGAATTGTGGCTGCTGGTCTCTGAATCCCTCCCCCTCCCTCTCCCCTCATGGTGGTTCCCCTGTTTGAAATATCATTAGGTTCATTTGCTTAGCTTTGTTATCAATTTCAGGTGCCCCCCCCCCATTCCGATCTTAATGATTTAATTTTACTTTTTGAAAATGTAGGATACGACACACCTAACCCAGTTGGCCCATAGCAGGAACTTTGTCGTTGCTTACGGAAAATTCACCAAGTAGATGTCAGAGGGGAAAAAGTCCAAGTGGAAAGGTTCTTCCTTCTCTCCTTGACCCGAGTGAGTGCTGACTCCACCCTGACTCCCGATTTCCTGGGCTCTCCTCTTGGGGAAAGTCCCCTCTCCCCACGGATACCACACCCAGGATTCCAAGAGGGCAGGATCTTGGTTCCAGATCTGAGTTTCTCTTGGGGGCACTGTCTGGCAGGGTGGAGGCCAGGCATGTAATTTCCAGAGACCCACAGCCCCGGACAAGCAGCCCTGCTGGGGGACACATATTTGCATGTGGATCACGAGTGCATCTGCATAGACCCGTCATCTCTGCTCCGTCTGACTTGTCTTTCCTCTTTCTTTACACTTACTGCTTTTCACAAATCTCAGTTCCTTTTATGCAACGGATTTAGCAGAATATGGAAAGGCGGGGAAGCCAGGGAGCATGCTGGAGGACACTTGGTCACTGGCCACTTACCACCAGCCGTGGGGATTTGTTTTCCAAGACGGTCAGAGAGCCGATTCCCCGGGGTTCCTTGCTCTGTTCCTGGGGCCCCAACCCAGTCATTTAACTGCTATGCCTCATCTACAAAATACAGCTAGGGGTGCCTGGGTGGCTCAGTCGGTTAAGCATCTGACTTCGGCTCAGGTCATGATCTCGCGGTTCGTGAGTTTCGAGCCCCACAACGGGCTCTGTGCTGACAGCTCAGGGCCTGGAGCCTGCTTCGGATTCTGTGTCTCCCTCTCTCTGCTGCTCCCCTGCTCACTCTCTGTCTCTCAAAAAATGAGTAAACGTTAAAAAAAAATGTATCAAATACAGCTAGACTGCCTTTCTCCTCCACAGAAACTGGAACGACTCGCCACATAAACCCTTTAACGGGTTTTGAAGTCTCGGGGGAGGGACCCCTTTGAGCAGGAGCAAAGGCACCGTTGAGGAGGAGGGGTGGGAAAGGAGCTGGCTCCCGGGCTGGTGGGGAAACAGTGTTTCCATTGTCCCTCCTCCCCACTGGCAGCTGTACCTGCTGAAGCAAGAGCTAGAACGCGAGAAGATGTCTTCTTCCCACGAGCGGGACTGTCGAGAGCGTTCCCCGCAGATGGCCGACGGCCTGGGGCCCGGGGACAAGGAGCTGACCCGCCTGAAGGAGGAGAACGAGAAGCTCCGGTCGCTGACGTTCAGCCTGGTGGGTCCCCTCCCTGTCCCCTCCCTGGCAGCCAGCTGGAGTTTCCCGCGGGCTGCGGGGCTCCCGACGGGTGGTCCGTGGAGGGGGCGCTGAGGACTGACTGGGCTACAATCTGGCGATGTCCTGTATTTCCCTTCCTGCTCCTCCCCTGCCCCCAGCGTTGGCGGGACTCACAGCTAGTGGACGTGCATGACAATGCCCCACTTGGCTGGGCAGCTGATTCTACAGGCTGGGGTTCAAGGCTGTGGGCGGGGGCGTGAGGGGGGACCCTTCTGCCTGCCGTCCTGCCCACGCGTGCTCTGGTGACACCAGGGCCCCGGCATTACACAAACCCTTTTTGCCTCTCCTCTTCGGTTCCTTCCGGTCAATATTATGTCCATTTACTGAGTGGGGATAGACACTCACCGGGTGCAGGGTAGGTGGCCGCCCTGGCGCTGTCTGTCACGCGGCCTGGATGGTGCCATCGCGCCTAAGCCCCTTCCCGCAGAGCGGGCGACGGGCAAGGCCGTGTCCGTCGGTGTTCCGTCTCTCAGAGACCCTGCTGGTGGATCTGGGGACGGAGCAGCCCGACACTGCCACCCCCGGGGACTCTCGGTTTCCTTTACCTTCCGTCGCCGACCGCATGGAAGTAGAAGTGAAATGCACCCGTTTTGATGGCCGACCCGGCCTTTCCTTCTGTGAGATGCGCGGGAATAAGGCCAAATCCATCCACGCGCCCGGCCTCGAGATTTCCTGTTGCCCGTTCCCGGGGAAGAACGATGGGGTGCTTCCCAGGGGCAGGCGTCTCAGGAGGCCAGGGCCCCGGGGCTGACCTCTCTTTGCCCCAGGCGGAGAAGGACATCCTGGAACAGAACCTGGACGAGGCCCTGGAGGGCACACAGACGCTGGTGGAGCGTATCCACTCCCTGAGGCAGCGGGCCGTGGCCGCCGAGAGGCAGCGGAAGCAGGTGACCCTTCCGGGCCGCGTCCGGCACCGCGGGGCACGGGCGGGGGCCGCGGGCCCTTGAGACCACACCGCGCTTAAACCCAGCGCCGCTTCCCGAGCACGCTGGCCCGACCGCTCATCCTTCACGGAAGCCACGTGGAACACAGACCCAAGGCTAGAGGCCCCGTCCGGTTAGCGGGTGGGACAAACGAGCAATAGAATGGAGGGTGCTCTCCGGCGGGGGCCCCCGGGGCCAGCACCAGGGGTTTATTCAGTTGCCACAACAGGCAAGGGGAGGACACGGAGGAAGGAGACAGCGCGAGAAAATGAGGCGGTAGCGTCGAGGGAAATTATTTACGTCTCTGGGGACGTGGAGTGAATGAAGCACAGTTGTACATGCAACACCCATGCGTATTTCTTTAAGATTTTATTTTTAAGTGATCTCCGCACCCAACGTGGGGCTCGAACCCGCAGCCCCGAGATCCAGAGTCACACGCTGTACCGACTAAATTCAATTATAATCAGCATAGCAGCCCTGTGGATAGACGCACCTTGAAATTTGGCACTTAAGACACGGGCAGGAAGTCACCTATGTTACCACCTGGACGGTCCCCCCTTTCTGCCTCCCCGAGGCACCCCAGCCCCACCCCGTCGTCAGCCCCCGGAGCCACTGGCCTGCATGGGCTGTGTCTGTCCCCCGTCCAGTACTGGGAGGAGAAGGAGCAGACCTTGCTGCAGTTCCAGAGGACTAAGGTCGACTGTGACATCTACAAGGAGAAGATCAGCGCCCTACAGGGCCAGTTGCTGGAGCTGCAGCGAGAGCGAGACCAGGTGCCCGGAGGGGAGGGGCCCCGGGGTGCCGCCCGGCCGAGTCCCCGCCACCGCTGTCCCCCGCTGGCCGGCTCGCTCGCTCGCCGCGTGCCATCCTCCCTTCTTTCCTTTCTGCCTCCCAGGCCTACTCCGCGAGAGACGCGGCCCGGATGGAGATTTCTCAGAGCCTGACAGAGAAGGACGCCCTCCGCAGGAAAGTGTTTGAACTGACAGACCAGGTCTGGGAGCTGCGCCATCGGCTTCACCAGCCACAGGCCGAGTCCCTGCGAGGGGTGAGTGCCCCCCTCCCACCCCACGGGGATGCGGTTGGGTGGCGGGGCTGGGAGGCCAGGTGGGCACAGCGGGCGTGGGGGCGGTACCGGGCCACTCACCGTCCCTGCCGGGGCATCGGGTTGAGCCGCATCCACGGCACACCGGCTCTCGTGGGTGAACCATGTTGCCGGGTCCTTGAAGAGGCACATCGGGGCAAGTTGGCTCTGTGTCCACCTCTCCTTTCGTGGTAATCTTGTGCAAGTCGTGAAAGGGGTAGCTTGGCGGAAGGTTCTGGAACCTCTAAAGTATGGTGTTCGATGAAGAAAGCAAGCGTGTGAAACCGGGCAGGCAGCCACTTGCTTTTGTAGATGATGCATTCCGGGTTTGCAAGTCCAACGTCCAAGAGCTGACTTCCACGCATGAAGGGAACTGCATTCCCCAAGGGCTAAAATGATTATAAAAACCTTCCGTTAGGATCTGTCCACAGCTCCAGCTCTGGCACCGGCCCGGGGGGGGGGGCG